ATTGTTCAAAATTTCCAACTATTTATTTGATATAACAAAAATCCGCATTTAGAAAAATCTGGAGCAATATTTAACAATAAGCAATAGTGTGGTTAAATTAATAAAGTTTTTGATTTTAAAAAATCGGAAATATCTGTACCAACTTCTCTCCACGTACCAACTAAATATACCAACAAGAATGTTGCCCATGATGTAGATCATTTGCTTTCAAATATTTTATGGAGACCTATCCACCTTAAGAACCAACTATTCAAGATTCTTTAAAAGCACCTTTAAAAGCGTCTTCTAATTAGATTATAAATCTGTCCTAAGCTACAACAGATTTTTCTCCACTTACAATTCCCTTTAAGGATTTTAATGCTGCACTTAGAGCAAAGATAACACCATTCCTTGGTTTCATTATGCATGGCGTGTTAATGAACTCAACTTTGTTGGTTTTTATGACATTCCGGCTTGTGTAATTACTATCTTTATTCAACGGTGACTGCTGACGGGCAAGTTGTAATGAAATTTTGCTAAATGAATATCTATTTGTCTAGACTGCGGCTGTTAATGTTGCAATTCGCGTGTTGTCCCGAACGCCTTTGGCCTTTAATAATTTCAATCTCTAGCCATCTTGGTGCTAGGAAAACGTATTAGACTGAAGTTATATGGTAATACCTACAGTGCAATAGTCTCGTGAGAATGTCTCACATAAAGCTTCATCAGGTGAGGAAGATGTAGTTTAATTTTGAATTTGATTGACGCTGATTAGAAAATGTTTGAAGGCGAAAAGTTAGGATACATATAACATGTACTTCTTCTCAAGGAGATAGCGCGAGATCTAAGCACATCAACCATTAGGTTTTAAATAATTGATTAATCTGTTGTAGGGTTGGAAGCACGTTAGGAAGAATAGCATACTTGAGAGATATGACCATCAAATTTGACATATATTTTGGGTCTTTAATTCCAGATTGCATTTAATAAGAATGGAAACTCATTATTTCTCTTGATAAAGACTATAGGATATTACCTTCATTGTCAATCATTTACCTAAAAATATATTTTGATTTTAAATTGGAATACATGCGAAGCTATTTTAATTAATTTTAATATACCTACTCATGTATATTAGAATATAACAGGAATGACTGAAGATAGACAAAGTTGATGATTCTATACAGAAAGTTTCGTATAACTCAAGATACTCAAAAATCAAGCCGCTAGATTACGGACAATCATCACGGAGTCGATGGAAATCACTCAAAATAAATCTGACTAACAGGACAGGGAAGTTTTGCGATCTCGAGAAAAATAAACAAGTTACTTAATGCTTCTGACCTGTCGCCTGAAAAAGTCTTGTATTATTCAATCTATAATCTTGAACTGACGACCTTTATTAATAGATTACCATAGTTTCTTAATTGACGTTTTATATAATGGTTGCAGTAAATATTTGCCTGTTTTAAAAGGAATCGAACAGGTTGATGTAAATAAAACTATTTTTGATGGCATTCTAACGCATTCTTCGTGTAAGTGCGTTGCCTTGTAGGAAGAGAACCGCACTAAGAATAGACGCCATTATTATAGTTATTTTTAAAAACGAAATTTAAATTCCTAAAATTTATACATCTAGGAGAATGGCAGGAACTAATCCCGAAGCTCAACCGTAGTCTTTGATGTGAAATTCATGGCTTTCGCTAAATAAATTAACATCATGTGTGTATAATTAAATCCTGGTGTCGTTTTCTTTGGGAGTCAGTAATGCCGAATTATGTCAGGTATTATGTGGATATTACCATAAATGAAATAGTAGAGTAAATTAATTAAGTTGTGGTCAATTAAAATAATTTTCATGGATTTTCACACTTGCATTTTGAGCACACTTACTGTAAAAATGTAGGCAAGATCCATATGAAGGGACGTAATAAGTAAACTGAAATAATACCAACGTATCACAAAGCATTTCTATATGATTTATGTTTAAATATCTACGATAGAGTTGTTTTAAGGAAGGCGATTATTTGCGCAATATTTTTTCCAGTATTTTAGAAAATCTAAACAAGTTCGAAACAATATTTCTTCACTGTATCGGTTATATAAGTTTCCTACATGGTATAAGACAACTGACAATACATTCAAAATTAGGAAAAAAAAACATACATTTTCTGAATTTTGTTCGCCTGTTGAACATACAGAAAATATCGTACGGTACCATAAACATAATCACACCCCGCTGATTGTATTTAGCAAACTATTAACACATGCATTAATCACAACTGTTGACTAGCTTTACAAATTTGCTGGACAAAACAGGAAAGGCACATTTTCTGATATTTACATATTCTCCGCGATCTTTCAATGCGAAAAATTAAAGGAACTTTCTCTAGTTTAGGATCTACATGTTCCATCATTGTCTTATTAAAAGTGCCACTTCTTGTTTATAAAACCAGCCAGCCAGCCAGTGAGAAAGCCCATTGGCTTGTTTTGTTTAATTGTTTAAATTAAAGTGAAAACTAAGTACATAACACCTTTTTATATTAATTAAAATTCATGATTTTCAATACAGATTATACACGATGAGGAAGAGAAAACTTGGTGTGTTATTAATCCATTTTTCGCTACTGTCTGAAATATAGAACACATATGATTTAAATTTGTCTCGGTTTTATTTGCTTTAAGAAAATCTACAGCTCTAGAAATCATTCCGTAAATATAGCACAGGCATGTTTTAAAAGGAAGCAAGGTTACACAATGGTCATCTATTTTACTATTTATTTGTTGAAACTAAAAGTATTATTAGTTATAGAGTCAAAACATGCCTAATAATAAATGTTATTGGGAACGTATATTTAACATTACTCGTAGTTACGAAATGGTGCATTATGTTAATTATAGGTTATAATAATGTTCCAAGCTGATGAAATCAATATAGGAACGTCTAGAGAGACGTTTTTATAAATAGTTCCTGGTTGCAACATTTATTAAAACAGGTTTTATTAAATTTTTCAAAATAGTTCGGTAAAGTATTGAACAATGATATTATTAACATGTCAGTTTTCAAGTCTATATTTTCAATAGTTCTTGAGGAATTGATCAAAAACGTTTTTGTTTAATTTAACGAAAAAAATCACTCTTGAAAGACTGACTGGTAAGCCTGCTGTTAATGTTCCAGTTTAGCACAAACCATTAATAAACTTGTCCAAATAATAATTTAATCCTTTACTAAATAAATTAATTGTGAGGATTTACTAGTGACCAATAAAGAAGCCGTTGGTTTTCATTCTTCATTATTCTTCGCGGATTAATTATTTCAGCGCATGATTTATTCCATCGACGGTGAAAGGAATGCTAAAAATAACGTTGCGTTTGACTTTGTTCTGTCTAACAATTCCGATTCGATTACATCATCCATATGACTAATTGGCTATCACTGCTATTAAATACGCTGCTACAAGACGGCGGGGCATTCTCGAAAGGACCAATTGAGGACTTTGGTGCAGTCACTGTGCCAGTCTGTGTTTTGGGCTAGTTGTTTAGCTGGCCGAAGGTACTTTTTCATCTAATTGATATAGTCCCCAGTACATCGCTCTTGCTTTCCATCCCAACTACCGGGTGTGTGAGTGATATAAGACCCCGTAGAACTTATAAGACACACTTCGAACAAACAACAACCATTAAGACCGGGAACACGTGGCACGCCTTGGGCTTTTCATAAACATAAACGAGTAAGGCATATTACTCACAAATTCACAATTCATTGAGCAAATGTATTCAAGCTAGCACACACATATAAAAATCAACCTTATTCGGGCGCTGGCCAGGCACCACTGTCACAAAGAACGCCGTCTCTTAGTTTCGGCATCCAGGGCTACATTTTGGTACTCATAAATTACATTATCTCAAGAGCAAATAAACACTTGGCTGGCGCATTTCGTGTGAACAGCTGAAGTTTGATTCAAAGCACGCTAGTTTTCATTACAAAAATTATATATTGATTCCTATTATGACAATACTTTTAAAATAGGCAAGTGTTACAATAAAACAATTAGCGCAGTTCTCCACACACGCGCGGTAACGCCACACCGGGTGATCACACGATTAATCTGATTGATTGAACCAAATAAACATACATATATTTATGTCCAAACAAAAGAAACTAAGCTAAGATTTTAATTAATTTATAGTTACTAAACAGTTTTTCCAGTATGGATTTCAGTTCTTGCACCAAACTCTGTAATTACAAAGTATCCGCCTGCAGTTGCATCGACCGCATATGATACGTTTCGGTCCTAGTGGCCCCATAATTCCGTTATTAATCGCCGATTGTAAACATAGCTTTTGAAAGTGGCAGTTTGGTATGAAATATTTAACGGCTAACCACTGGTTTGCTTACTTTGAATTGGTGTGCAGCTGTTTATTTGAAAACGATCTTCGTGATTGATGTCCCACGAAATGCAGGCAACATGTTCTGTTTTATTTCCACCACATTTGCGGAAATGTTCTTAGTAGATCAGTGAACATATGGTCCATGGATTGCAATTCAGAATTTACATTTATAATTTGATCTAGCGTTGAGAATTTATCCGCGAAGTAAATCAAACTTGTGCTTAAACTATAACAAAATTTTTAAGTACAAAGACTGAAATAACTTATGTTTAGCTGAGTATTGTCCTATTGTAGAAAAAGTATTAATGTTGTAAACATTTATTTGTATCTTAAATAAGTGAATAGCATATTGTTACTTGAAAGTGAAAAACATAATAGTTATTCATTGTATAAATGTTTTAAGTAGCATTTTATCGACGCAATATTCTTACGTGATAAAAGGCAATTAAAACATGAATGCAATACGATTTATCCATAATCACATCACAATCATATTTGTGGAGTCAGAATTATTGGAATTTAATAAAAAAATTACTTGATATTTCTTACTAGTAGGTACTCAATGAAACGTGGTAGGTTTTGTTATAGTTACTTATATTTAATAAACAGTTCTAACCGAATTTGGTAAAATGCAAGAAGGTAATTGTGTTTCTGTGGCTGTTTTTGAAGAAGTAAGTTCAAGAAACAATTTTCCATTTATTGTCAGCGATATCCAGGGAACATTAAGAATTTAACGGAGAGGGGGGGGGGGGGTGCGGAGAGTAATGATAATAAATGAAGAAGTCATGCTATCGTATTTTTTAAATTTGAAGAAAAAAATATGCAATTTCATATATGTGGTCGAAGTATTCGAAGTTGAAGGCTATTATAATGGTCTACAAATATATAGATATTGGAAAATATAACAAGCTTACTGTTTATTTGAAGAGGGAATCGAATCGAGAAGATACAAAGCTGTAGTATTGGAAAGAGCACATTCTGAAGAATTTTTGACTGCGGCTTCCAATAAAGAATATTTAATGATTAAGGACGTTCGGTAGAGATAAAACCCTTCAATGATTTTTTTTTGAAATTTTGACCAGAAGTTCTTATTGTTGTTACAATAAACCTATCAAAATTTCAAGAGGTTCATCTGTTTCGTTTTCGAGATATTGAATTTCAAAGTTCAGTCATTTTAACACGGTCGCTTATGGGAAAACTGATACAAACTCAGTTTTAAGAAAATTGGCCCAATGAATTTCGTCAACTTTTTTATATGTCACAGATAATGTTATTAATTTAATGTATATCAAGTTTCGCGATGATCATCTGATTCGTTTGTGAATAAAAAAATAAATAAGAGTTCGACAGAAACGCAACGGCATCATCGCAAGTTTCTCATTCTTCGTAGTTTGGAGGTTATACTGTTTGGCTTTGGGCATTTTTACGAATGAAATCTACGAATATAAATACAATTGTCACAGAGACACCTGTAACTTGTGCAAATTCTTCACAAACTTCGGCAGATGTTATGCGTTGCGAAAATGATGGCAACAATGCTACAAGGATTGTTATTAACGGAAAGGAAGTTAAATGTGATAAAACAAAAAAGGAAATGTCTCTTGCTATAAATGTAAATGTTAATGTTAATAAGTAAATAAATTAAATTTGATACTTTATTCCACTGGTGGATAAAGTATCACTTTAGACGGGTCCTATGTGTGGATAAAAGCAATGTAATAAAATTAAATTCTAGCTTGTATGGATCCTATACCCCTTCATCATTAACCGTTGTACCCTCATATCATGATTATTATATTGAACCAGCATTTAACAGTACTAGTCACACCGATATAAATGTAAATTATCAATTATAGACCCGACTTTAATTTACATAAATGTAAATAGATACATATGAGAATACATATTACTATACAAAGTCTTTATATGTTTAAGTATGACCTTTCTCTTGCACCTGAATTGAACATTTTTGTTTATTGCTGTTAATAACGGTAAGATATTACACAGGAAAATTATAGAATAAATTCATTATTTCCGAAACCGCGAAGTTTGATGTGCCCTTCAATTTTCGTCCTATTCTTTTTATGTATTTTACGTGTAAATTATTATTTGTGAAAAAATTTTCAGTTTTTAGGTTACCTACAGCATATACTTATATTTTTTAATGAGACGCATTATATATTTTTCGACGTTTAATGTTTGCGTAAAATTTCCTTTCAAATGATAACGATAATAATAGAGAAGATATAAAGTCAAAAATGTTTATAATTCGAACAGTTTTATTACAATTTACATATTTCTTTTGAAGCTTAATTTTCAAACACGTTTTTCCATCAGTAAACTCATACTGTACAAAAAATAATGTATGAAGCATTTGCGAATAAACATTTATTAAAATTGAATAAAGATATCTTTAAAATGGAAACATATGGTTTTTATATCGTGTTTTATTTTCTTCTGTAGATTGAGACACTACAAATTGCTTAACACTTTATACTGATTGCTTTCCAAAGCTGAATGTTATTATAAACACTTCCAACGTTACTTTTCCTTACAACTTTTACATTTACATTTCCTTGTCAACGATGGTGTTGATGAGAAGTAAAGGATGCGTGACTTTTCTCACATAATTGTGGTTCTCGAAAAGTCTATTAAGCTGCATCAACATTGTGCATTTATTTTAAGGTTAATACGTAATTTTTATAATGCTTCATAATAATATAATGCCCTTCTAAAAGATGTCTTAAAATATATTTTCTACTACAACCAAATACAGAAGTTAGGTTATAAATTTCAAAATTCAATTTTATTAAATTTTATTACAAGAGAAGTAATACATTTTTTGTTGTACTAAAATACTTTTAATACGTTATTATAATTGTGAAAGCTTTCTTGAATAAAATGGAGGACAACAGTAATATATAGGGTGTCCCAAAAAAACGCAGAATTTCATATGAAGACAAAAGATTTTATTGATTAAATAGTTGGCAAAGTTTTTTACACGTTTTTAAAGAGTAGACATTGTCAAATATCAATCATTCTACCCAAAATTGCGAGGACGCGCACAATGTCAGCTACACACTCTCTGTACTCGTAATGAATTTTCACAATATTTACTCGCTCATCAGTCATATAACGCTCCTTTTTGTCCAACTTTAAACATAAAATTAAGAATAAAAACCATTTTACTACTGTTGATGTTTCAATTTGTATTAAATAAAAACAAAACTAATGACCCAAGTAAATGATAAATCAGACGATTATTTTCTATGTAGACAATGAAAGTAAAAGGAAATAATTGCTACCAGTTATGGTAACTAGCGGCACCTTTCCTTTTCGGGTCACATCCAATAAAATTAATTACTTAATTCACTAAACAATTTCTTCTTTTTTCTAGTATAAGGTCTAGTCTCTGATAATATGTGTGCATATCCACACATGACTTATAACGCAATTGATTATGCAAATTGTGCAACGAGGCGTAGTTAAATTCATGTAATGGAGCTGGTCTCTGATTATAGGCAGAATTTCGAGAAAAAGAGATATGTACCTTGTCATATCATTAAATAACAGTACCTACCAAAAGGTGTTTCTTGGGTTCAGTGTAATTACCAGGCAAAAATTTCTGTAGGATCAGGACTATTATAAAAGGAGCATATACTGTTAGACCAGGGCAGATCTGTCGAAATATCGCACTTCTTGGATGTAAGAGGGGGCAAGCTAATTTTTGCTGAAATACCCTCAGTACAACTGACATAATAAAAGTGTAGATCTCTAGATCTGGGCAAGGTCCGGAACATTTTCAAAATTGCAAAAAATACCTATTTTTATAACATTTTTTGCAATTTTGAAAATGTTCCGGACCTCGCCCAGATCTAGGGATTACACTTTTATTAAGTGAGTTGTACTGAAGGTAATCCAGAAAAAATTTGCTTGACCCCTCTCACATCCACCTCAAAACAGAAAAACATTATTTTATTTTATTTTTAAACAATACTTATTTCTATAAATAAACTAATTTACAAACCAGTTTGATGAGAAACTAATTTATACACATATTATATTGAATTGAAATGAATAAAATTTAATAAAGAAGTTTAAATTTTGAAAACGTAATATTTCTTTAAAATTAATAATGGTGACAGATCATAGGAATGGTTTGATTCTTTAATACAGAATTTTTTGAAAATTAGGTTCTTACACATTCCTAGTTCTTAACAACCCTTATAAATATGCTACTAAGTAATGCATCCAAAATATAATTCTGCACAAGTTTGTTGAAAATTTTTGGTCCAAAATATTACCAATGTCACTGAATTATGAATATCACGATAAGAACAAGAACACTTTACATAGTTTGCACAGCTTGTCAGTCATACTTTTATATATTTATTTCCTCTTTTCTTTTTTTAATAAACGGTACATTGGCATCATTTTTATTAATTTATTTGATTTATTGCTGTATTATAAAGAAACCTTAGTCATGCTTACAACTATAAGGAAGTTAAATTTAAATTAATATATGGCAATGTACAGAAGTCAACTAACATTTTTCTATAAACACGTAATTCGTCCTACTTACCACGGCAATTCTACATATTCCATTAAATGCTACTAAAGTGCCTCATATGAACTTGGCTCTACAAATTAGTAATTATTTTAATTTTATGGCCAGCGCTATTTATAAAAATTTATGGGACGTTTATTTTTAAGTGAAAGTGACCCTAATAAGAGAAGCTTTGTTTTTCTCGACTATTCCTGTATAAATAAATAAAAATCCACTTAAAATAGCGACCGGTTAGTTATGCAGATGTTACTGCCATGGTACGATCGGTAGTCTAAACAACTTGCTGCAGGAGATAGTAATGGTAATGTTTATGTTCATTACAGACCCGTAGACTTCTGTAATCATTAAGTATATGTTACACCTGTTGTTCTACTTGCTACCGCATAAGTGTTTCAGGAATATTATTATGGGGTCTATCCACACGGAGAAAACTGCTGCTTTATTTTCAATAACAGCCCTATATATATTTGACAACTATTTCTTTAATCCAGCTATCTTTTAAGCTTTACTGGTACAAATGCACTCCCTTTGCATAATTTTTGCATAAATGCGAGTGAAAGCAAGTAGCAAGAAACGTATAATTTTCCTTCAACTATTTGATGCCATAGATTGCACACAGGTACCCATAACGAAACCGGATTTGGAAGAAGATGAATATGTTAAAAGAAAAACTGCAGTAGTGTCAGTGTACAAACAAGATACATCAAGGATTTTTACCAATTTCAGCTTTGTCTCTCGGTTGTAAATTAGTTCTCACCACTCAATATTCTAATTTTTTTATATATAGTTTGTGCTCTTTCACGTTTGATTGAACTATACTTACTACTTAAATTTATATTAATTACTTCAGTATAACTATATTTTCCCAAGATTGTGACTTGAAAATTGTCTCTTAGTTTTTAGTAGATACGCCACTGACTTCAAATGCATTTGAAGGAAAGGTATAGGACGAATAAATTAACGTTGCATTTTTTGCATTCTTCGGACTCGTCTGCAAGCGGTAATGGTTCACTGTTTGGATAATTGTTCGGGCGGTAGAGTTTGGAAATTCCTTCACCTCAAGAAAGGTGTCGATAGTCTCGGGAACGCAGAACACCCATCTAG